GCGGGGACGAAGCAGCCTACAGGAGGGAGGTGGCCGGTCTGGTGTCTTGGTGCAAGGACAATAATCTCAGCCTCAACACGATCAAGATGAAGGAGATGATAGTGGACATGAGGAAGGAGAGGAGATCTCATCAGCCACTGTTCATCCGGGCGCTCGAAGTGGAGAAGGTCAGCAGCTTCAAATACCTGGGCATCCACATCAGTGAGGACCTCACTTGGACACTTAACACCACACAGCTGGTCAAGAAGGCCCAACGGCGGCTGTACTTCCTGAGGAGGCTGAGGAGGTTTGGCATGTTGCCTAGGATCCTTTGCAACTTCTACAGCTGCATCATTGAGAGCATCCTGACCAGCTGCATTACTACAAAGAACAAGTCTGTTCTCCACCAGTGGAACCTTGTTCGATATCACGTTTTGGCATGAACGAATATGTACAAGCAGAAGTTACATTAACCGAATATTTTCCATCATTGACAGAATTTTTTAATAGTGATCCTTTCTACAACTCAGTGATTCTGCTTTTGAGTTATTTTCCTGACATGTTGGTGTTATATCTTTCACTTGGATGTTATAAGTTGCACTGAGTAAATACAGCTGGACAAAACTAAACTGTCTTCATTTCAGGCTGCAAAGCAACAAAATGTGATTATTTTAAAGGGGGGTGATTCTTTTCTATACCCACTTATGTTACTACCTCAATGGTGTCAGTATTCTAAAGGTGTTGGGAATTTATAGTACTCTGTCAAAAGAGTTGTGGTCCATTATTGATGATAATCCAGTCCATGTTTCTTTCTGGAGCTTTCAACCGTATCACTTCCAATTCCATATGAGCTTATCGGCTCATCCATAAACTGTAATTCTGGCTTAACGGCTGTATGCCTTCACCAACCAGTCAAATTCACAAGAATGGGACAGACATGAAGTCACTGACCTTTGACAACCAAAATCTAGTCAGACCATTCTCGAGTCCAAGTGGATGTTTGTGCCAAATTAAAAGAAATTCTCTTAAACCATTTGTGAGATATCGCATTTGCAAGAATGTGATGGACGTGAAGTGACAGTGACCTTTGACCACCAGAATTGAATTGCTTCATCTTTAAGTCCAAATGGACACTTGTGCCACATCTGAAAAAAGTCCCTCAAGGCGTTTCTGAGATATCACATTAACAAGAATGGGCCAGATGAACAGGCAACCCAAAAACATAATGCCTCGGGCTGCAGCTGTCGCTGGTGTGGAGGCATAAAAAGTATTTCTTGATTGTGCTGCCTAAAACAATTACAAAAGGAAGTTCATTCTTGAATTCTAAAAAGTCTGACGAAATGTCAAACAAAACTCAAGAGTCAAACAATAATAAAAAAAAAAAGCTCTCTGACCGTTTTAATCGGAGCAGCTGTGGCTCAGGAGGTAGAAAAGGTCATCCACAAACCACAGGGTTGGCGACTCAATCCCCAGCTCCTCATGTCCATATGTTGATGTGTCCTTGAACAAGACACCGAACCCCGAGTGGCTCCTGGGGCGCATGGGTGAATGGGAGGAAAACTGTGAAGCACTTTGTCCATTCAGGTAGAAAAGTGATATGTAAATGCAGCCCGTTAACCACCAGCTTAGCAAATCAATGCACGAGAAGAGAACAGTTCGGAAAAGCCCCTTCAGCCCTTCGCTGTAGGATCCATGATGTCACATATTTAGTGCAGTCTCTCCTCATTTTTGATCTCAACAACCTCCATTCTTCATCCACAACCAAAAGACCAAGGGCAGAGAACGGCAGTGTCATTTGCAATTTTTCATCAGACTTATTCTCGATTAGAAGCAGCTGTTTTGAACGAGACGTGTTTTTGTTTATACTTCTGCGGTCTAGCTCTTCTTCATTCCCTTTCAGAATGACAAATACAGATTGATACAGATACCACCAACTGCTGGTATGGGGAGTTATTTCTGTCACACGGGTGCAAGAGATACAGTACGTGCTAGTTGGCCGTTGGCTGTAGTCTGTGCGGCGTGTTCAAGTGCCGCTTTTTCAACTCAACTGGCACAGACAAAGCCGATGTGAGGCAACGCACAGGTCGGATTTAGTCGCTGTTACTTCTTTCACATTGGCTTGGTGTGTCTGCCCTATGTCGTTGTCATTCCTTTTGACCAACACTATGAACATACAACAGGATGCCCAAGATTTTTCCAAGCCACAGAGAGTATTATTGTTATTGTGAAAGCTGTAATGACTTAGAAAGAATTCCCTAGAGTTTCATTTAAAGTAACCTTAATTTGCCTAACCCCAATTCTTACCCTTAGCTTAACCAAAAACCACATCCATCTCAATAATGTAACGTTGCTTGAATAAGTACATACACTGTACTGTACATGAGTACACATTCACATACTCCGTCTATTTTTTACCAGACTGCTGTGCTCCCTTTCACATAGCGTTACTTTGTCCATATGAAGGACAAAAAAAAATTCAATATTTGAGTCGTCATGCGTGCAAAAAGCACAGCTGAGGCTCTGTTTACTACATAATGGAGACAGAGGGTGGGTGAGAGAAAGAGCAAGAGAGACCTGGGGGGGGGGGGAGAATTCCTCAACCCTTGTTTACCATTTCTGATGAAAAATCCCTCTTCATCTCTCTTACACACAAACACACACAATTATAAACACAGTCACATCACAAGGACAGAAGGCACAGTAGTCAGAGCTGCGAGTATCCATTATGTTATAAATGGGGGAAATGACTGATGCACATATGAATTAAAGTTCAATTGAAGGACACAGCTCACAGTTATGGCTGCTATTCATCAATTAAATCCTGAAACACCTTCTTCCAAAGAGAGGAGATGAAGAAGGTAGCACACATGTTTCTCTGCACAGACACAAAAGAACTCAGTGGCCATCTTTAATCTGAGGGGGAAGAGTAACCCTCTTCCAACAGCAAACAAGAAATACTGTAGGAAAGAAGCTGGCTGAAAACTAAATTGAACCTCTGCTGTTGGCTTTACACGTGTCATGTTTTAGAGCAAATGTCCAGTTCTTTTGCCAAAGTAATCCACAGTGCTGCTGTACTGTTTTCAACGTAAAACAGGACACAGATGATTTACAAATCACTATTTTCGGTTTAAAATTTGATTTTACACACTGTGCCAACTTTTTATGACTTGGGGTTATAACTGTAAGGAGCCCAAAATGTTACAGAAACACAGAGGATTACAGTGCTTCTCCTGTTGGAACAGTTAGACTGACTGATTTTAAATGAACAAAAACTGCTGGTTGGGTATAACGTGTTAATGTGTGCAGTGGGCTAACGGACACACGATGCACAGCAGCAGAATGATGTGAAGTGATTTTACAAAACTAGGTAACACTTAAAACGTGGTTTCATATTAGGGACCCAGAACCAGATCAGAGTACACTTCTTTTTGATTAGTGTGAACACAAGCGAACCGGAGTCCGCTTGAGGTGGTGGTCTCGATCATGATTCATATGTACTCGAGCACAGTCCGCAGGAGATGTGAGTACTACAGTGCTCAAACAAGAAAGTGGGGTGCTATGTGACTTTGTCAATTTAAACATCCACAAACATGACTGCATAAGGATCTCTGTGGAGTAACGAAGAAACAAAATGCTTGGGCTGACAAACATAGAAAGACAACTGGATACCGATTGCCTCAAAAATATTAAAAACACCCACAGTAGCAGGATTGACTCCATTGTCCATATGGAACAGAAACCAATGTCACCCAGTTGATGACACGAGAGGTTGCTTCGTCTTCTTGGCAGATTGTAAACCGACTGCATTGCATACTGATGGAAACTCTGGAGTGTCGTCACTCAGCCTGTCACTGCATTACACCATGTTTTCACTGACCCAAGAAAACCCACGTTCTATACTGCGCATGTGTCTGAGAACAGCTAGCTAACCTTGGTTGATCCTGGACAGCACTGAACCCTT